GCTGTCTAATAGTTACACCAATCAATAGTGAGTGTTAACACTGAGTCCTGTGGTTCTCGAAAACTAACTGTGGTAAATGATGAAGATTTTGTAAAAATATGAAATAGGATAAACATCCGCCTAATGCTGCTCCCCTGAACCCACTGCATTTATCAGGTAATTAACTATCAAATACAGCAATAAGATTTAACAGGACAAGAGAAGATGTAAGGCCGCTCTTACCAGGTGGTTGTTGTTTCCATGTCAATGTAATTCCACCTCATGTATGAAGCTGTTGCTGAACTAGAGAGCTCCTTCAGAGACAGACTGCTGCACCATAAATGCACCAGGAAACGTTATCACAGATCCTTCCTCCAAGCAGCTGTAAGACTCTATAACCATCACTTTTTCCCCAACAACCTCAACAACTTCTTACATCATGCAAATTTTTGCACATTTTCTGTTTTTATCACTGTTGTTGTCATTCTTGTGTTGGCTGTGTTTTTTTCCACACTACTGGAAAAATATCCACAGCTGTTTATTGATTATTTATTCTCCAGATACACAGTAGTTATATTGTTAATTAACAATACAGTATTTTATTTGTTTATTTTTCTTCACTCTGTCACTTATTCTGTTATTTTTATACACTTTTAAGATCCACATTTGTGTGACCACTTTTGCTGCTAAAACACCACAATTTCGTCTTTGTGAGACAATAAAGGGATTTTTCTATTCTATTCTATTTAATTCTATTCTAATTTACTACCTTGGGAACATGCAGACCTCCTCTAATCCAGAAGGCAGCAGTAGTGATTTTCTCAAGTGGAATGTCCTAAATAATTTAGCATTTAATTTGTCGGTATATTACCCTAAACTGACAACAAAAATAAAGTAATTCATTATTTGTATCAGTTTACTTACATTGAATACATCAAATCCCAGAATTCATGCTTTTTTGACAGCTAATTTTTTGGTGTTATACGGAGAAAGAAAAGTTATGTGTCCCTGCAGTCATCTATGAGTCTTCTATGCAATAAGAGATAGAGAAGAACTGCCAATCCCAC